CTATCATTTATTTTCTTAGGAAATATTGTGTTTTCCATAAACATACAATACTGAGCCAAGTCAAACATTATTTATTTTTCTTGTTCCCTATAAATAAAACATTGTTGTTGAAACATCATAAATCAGTGACATATTGTCATTGATAATAGAATATTTTAAACCACAAACCCCTTAGATCAGTGAGAGAAACATGTTTGAGTTTATGTGAGTGAGAGATCTGTGAGGCTCTCATCACTGAAATTGTTTATTTGAGAAGGGCTGGTGCTGGACCTCCTGGATGGTCGTTTGACGCACAAGCTCACGAGGCCGGCCCTTCCTTCTAAGTCAACAATCGGAGACAGACCAGTGGTAATTAGCAAGAAGAATGGTACCCCTGTCCTCCGTGAGACACAAGGACACCGAAAGATCAGACAAAGGAGCCTTTCACGCACTGTCAGAGGTTGCAAAAGAAAATAGCAAAATAAATGGACTGAGTTTAGTGAGTTGAACATCTACCCCAGGTAATCTGTCAACACAGTGTCTGGGAACATGACATAGTGATGTTGATGAAGTACTCCAAAAATATTTACTGATACACTGTGAATATAATAAGAATACGCCTCACAACATTTTTCAGAATGACATGTATTGTTGATGTAGCGGTTAATAGGCTAAAGTGGTTTAAGAGAGGTTTATTTATCTTTGTTCAAATACTACGTCTGTCATTACAGCAAGTGAAGGAGTTTGGATTATGTTAAGTGTACATAAAGTAACAAGAGAACCAGTCCTGCTAGCGAATCTGTGATGCTGATGATGAATTGGCGGTGGTGCTTTGAGCTTAATGCTTACATGCTAGTATTTACAATGCTAGCTCGCCGTGTTGGCAGGTGTAGTTTTTCCCATGTTCACCATTTTCATTTAGCTTTTTAGTATGCTAGCATTTGCAAATGAGCACATATGTGAAGTATAGATGAGTTACATTTGCAGATATTTGGTCATAAATCAGAGCATTGGACAAATAAGCTGTACTTCACACGACTGCTATTTAGCAAATGCTAGCTTGTTACCACACTAAAGCATAATTCCAAACATGCTAAATATTAAGCCGGAAAAACATCAGCATTCTTATTGTCCACATTTATTGCACATGATCAGTTTATAATCGAATATCAATACCAATACAAAATGCCTGCATATAAAACATCTATAGGCAGTTGTAAAATATTGACCTCGCAATTGTATCGTAAACTAAATGTGATTTTACATTATGAAAATATCAGGCAGCATGTGTGGCCAGCTTGAAAAGAGCCACAATGACTCTTCGGTAAGTCAAGGTCAGGCTGAACAGATGTTCTGCAGAGCACACAGTATCACACTTTGAGTGGTGATGTGCGACACAGATGTCACTGCGGTCATGTAAAAGACGTACAGAAGAAACTATTAGAAAAGGAAAGCAGTGATTCTACAGCTGGACGATCACAGGATGTGAAAAGTATAACAAAGAGCATATGTAGCCTAATGTTTAATAGGGTGTTTATTAGACTTTCACCAAGGCCATTAAGCAAGAAATATGTGAGAATCCACCCTGTGGTCCCAATCCGCTCCAAAAATGTAATAGCTTCTTACTTTTCACCCTTAGGTTAAATGGACCTCCAATCGTTTTTCAATGATCCTGACAACCAAAACCATAACCTCATTGACGGAGATAAGGCTTTCTATTGTAGCTAAATGTATGGATATATCGTTTCTGAATTCAATAGTTTGAGCCATGTTTTCAACAGTGTTCAGGTTTAATATTGTTTTGTAGACGCACATCTAACCTTCAAAGGATTTTTCTGCTGATAAGTATTGTCTTAAAGAGCAGCCAGGGGACATGATAATTTACAGTAATTACAACTGATCGTTAGGCATAACTAAATGAAATAAGATTTACAGAAGTTAATGTTCTAATCTCCACTGTGAATAATTTCCGTCCTTGGTTCTCTTTGACGTTTGCCATTATTGACGCTTCCAATACATTTAGACAGCACCCACTTATAGTACTGGAGAAAAGATTCCACGTAAATATATGCTTATTTATGCGAGCAGCAAGTCCTTGGCTGAAAAGCGTGATTCATTACATGCTGTCATACATATATTGCTGTCAGTCAGCACGGGAAAGTGTATTTCCTCAACTAAATTAAGTGCTTGAAGAGGCAAATATAACCTTTGAGGCAACCTTTGTGCGCCCACATTTGATAAAAACACACAAACAGACAAAAAATGCCTGTGACTGTCCTCGGGAATACATGTGCAGTGGAACGTGCCTGAAAAGTCACCTGTTTTTAGTAAACGCTGATAATTCTTGAGGACAAAACCAGCACTGCTCAACCGTACATACAGTATTTGTATTTCTTTGTAATCAGCACATGACAGAGCAGAAATAATCTTTTCTTTTCTGCACACACAAAATGATTTTGCAGGTTCGTCGACAAGTTTACGATGAGCAATTAATAGTGATGAATAAATACAAAAATGCACACACTTAAAGAGATAAAAAATGCGTAGACTGTGAATATGTGTGTGTGCATGCATGTTTGTGTATATGACAGAAAGTGAGAGTGTGTGGGAGGCCAGTATTCTTGTTATTACCAGGAATTAAAGGTTGTGCCTGTTAGACTGGTTTGTGCTGAATGTGGTTTGGCTCACGTTCAACACATTTCTTCTCTGGGCAATGGGTATATTTTTATTTTACAAGAGCGGCTCTCAAATGATCTCATGATTGATTACATTTGTTCTTAAGAGGAGAACTATAAAATGATCTGCCTTAAACCTGCCCCATTGAATTTTTGTTTTTTATCTTCATATTTTATCAATTTTATATTCTGTAACTAGCCTCAGAAGGCATTTGTTTTCTCTTGTTCCTGTTATTCATTCATTTAGGATCTAATCTCATTAAACATGAAAGACTTCAGGAGCTCCATTCAATCTAAAATGAAGGATTTTCCCGATTTTTTCAACTTAAAGCTATATTATTTACCTTATGACAGACACAAATATTCCTTCTCTTAGAAAGGAAAAGTTAAAGTAATTATGAATACAACAACTTGCTGCGTAGGGTTACCACTCATGTTCATAGAAGAAGTGTTCAGCAAAAGTGATGTAGTCTCAATTCAAATCTCATCCTCTTAGATACGCGAGCTCATGCTTTATCACAAATATTTGTTAAAATAAATCCCCCATCATACTTGGACAATCTGACTCAGGTAAATACATGATTTGCTCACACTGAGAAAATGGAGTCAGACAGATATTCAAATGGCAACAGGTAGAAGACATTTGGTTACGAAACAGCGTGGGCTGTGTGGATTCGTTGTAAATGTGCATCACAATATTGCATGACATTTCAGTTGGGACACTTTGCATGAAGTTTGCATTCCTTTAACATTTCAGACTGTGGGAGGGTACGAACTGTTTCTCTACTGGGTATGGTATTTACACTAACCTGCACTTACTTGTATTCACATGCTATGACATTTTACAGTATGTCCCATCTGAAACATGTTATAATAGAGTTGTTGGTGTTCTTGGGGTGTCACACTGACTGTTTACACTCTTGGCCATATGGTCCTGTCATTTTTGTGTCACTTTGTTCTAAGCTTGGCTGCTTAATAAATAAGTAGCTTTCTTTGCAATTTCACATATGAGTTTCCATCAATGCATCTTATATGTATCTGGAATCCCCTGCAACACCTATGGACATCAAATTAGTTTTTGTTTTTTTATATTTGACTAATGACTGTATTTCTCTCCTCATCTCGATAGGCAAAATGGCAGCTCTGTCAGAAAACCTCTGTTGCTGCTAAACATACAGCAGCTCTGTCATTACTGAAAATCAGCAGCATGACAGTATAAATAACAATGACACTAGCTGAGATCTAACACTGTAAGTGATGGTTTGCAAATATCTAGAGGCTGAGCGAGGTTATTTTAGACAGTTTATTGACAGAGAAAGTTTGTATACTAATCTTTTTCACACAACCCTTGCACTGCTTTTCTTAACTGTGCGTTCATAAAATAATATGTCAGATAATCATTTGAGTTGTAATACATTAATGTGAGGAGTTATATGGATGTTTGCGTGTGTGTGCACGTTGTCTCCATCGTAACCGCATCCTCCTACTAGTTCTCATGCAACTTTTTTCTCATTCTTTGGTAACACTCCCCCTCCCTTATTTTCCTGCAAGTCTTATTCTTTTCAGTGACACACTGCTGTTCTCACATTGATTGATACGGTGTTGCCTCTCTCTTTCAGTCCCACCTGCTTTTTGCAAATTGGATTTTCTTGCACTTCCTGCGCAACAATATACATTTAAAAAAAGAAAACCTGAAAAACGTAATTTTAAAACGTAGCCTAGATAAAAGTATTCCTAAGGGCCTATTAATGATCTGTGACCAAATTAACTTGAGTTTAATTCACATTAATTATTTGAGTTCTATGTAAGATAATAATATAATATAAGCAGAATAATATAATATAATAAACATAATGAACTAATTTAAATAAAAGCTTTGAGGTACTATAGATATGTTAATAACTACATATTTTAATACCCTTTAGTTAAGATCATTGTTTTCACGTCCAATTAAATGTAATGTGCATTTGATTGCTCAATAATAATACTAATATTTGTTTTAAAAGATCACCAGTTGCTTCCTGTTTCTGTTGGAACCGCGCGCGCACCCGGACTGTATGGAGTGAGAGCGCGAGGCAGCCGGGAAACATCACGTGGTGACATATCTCTACCACTGACGTCATCGTCCACATCTCCAGGCAACCCCTCCATCAGCACTGATCAGCACTCGCGTCACCGTACGACCGAGCCTCGCGGTTGCTCGGCAACAGTGACTTGCGCTCGAGCCCGGCCTTGCCTTGCACCCAGCTCGGAGCTCTGACGCGGGTGTGACGTTAATAAGGTGGGTATCAATTTGTTATGGTGGCGGGGGGAGGAGGAGGAGTTCCCCCTGTGAGTGCCGAGGCTCTGCTCTGCATTCCGGCGGAGCGCACAGATACACACGGTCGCAGCCGAGTCCCGGGCTGAGAAACTTATTGTATGAACTCACAACTCAAAATAAGACGGGAAGAAAAAAGTTGCTCCGCGCGTATTTTCTACAGTTTTTCCTCCCTACTGTCGTTGTTGTTTCTTCCCTCTTCTTGTGGAATGGTTTACATTTTTTCTGGGAACTTTCAGAGAAGGTGGTTTATGTCCGATTTTTAAGGTAAGACGAGACTCCTCTCTCCAAAATACCTACTTTTTACTACCTCAGAGGCAATAAACCGTTTCTGTAATTTTCTTGCACAACCAAAAGTGCTTTCGTTTTTAGTTAAGCTGATTTGTCTTTTACTTTCTATTTAACATTAAGAAAAGTGACCTTGATTTTTTAATCAAATGAATTCTATATGATTAACACATTAGGAGAAGTTATCCGTTTTTGATCCTTTTTTTTTTTTAAACTCGAAAAAGTGTATGTTTAAAAAAATATTTTTGGAGGATAACACTGTGAAGAACATTTTGATAGAACCTTACTCAGTCCACTCCAGTGAGACTTTCTCCCACTGACATCATTTGTTATACAAGCAAGTTTTCACCCTGCTGCATGTGATGTAGAGCCCTGCCTTTGGTGCACACTGGTGCACACCAGTACATACGTGTATCTACCTATCACAAAATAAGAATGTACTGCAATTATATAAATTATATCTGAATATGCAGTGAAATTAAAGCAAGTGTTTTTCTCTGCAGGTATTAACCCAAACCTATCCCAACGCAGTAACTCCAGACTGTTGATGCACCATGGTGATCCTGACAGAGAGCAGCCAGGGGGCTCAGTCCAGCTCGGCCCAGGGAAGACCCCTGCAGGTCGGCTTCTACGAGATCATCCGCACACTGGGGAAGGGAAACTTTGCCGTGGTGAAACTGGCCAGACATAAAGTCACCAAGACACAGGTCAGCATCTCTGCTATAATTCTGTGGCTGCTTTTTAAAGATGCATAACCTTTCAAATTATTGTTTTTTGACATTTACAATTTATCTTTTTTTTCAGGTGGCCATTAAAATCATTGATAAGACCAGATTGAACCCCTCCAACCTGGAGAAAATATACAGAGAGGTGCAGATAATGAAGCTGCTTAACCACCCTCATATCATCAAACTCTACCAGGTGTGTATAATTGTTCATGTTTGTGCAGTGTTATTCTATGCATGGCTGCAGCAGTAGTTGTTCAACCTGTATTACATCCTCAATGGTGAAGCTTGGTTGTGTGATGGCCCCAAGTGCAGAGAGCCAGTCTGAACACACGCATGCATCTGGGAGGGAAAATGCAATGGTGTGGAGAGCTTTGCAAAATAGGGGGACATTGATTTCCCTCAGTTACAGTGTGGTTGTTATCATTGATATGTGGATGCGGCCGTGCCAAATAAGGAGAATTTGTTAACCAAGTGATATTGTACCGGCTCACTGCAAGACTGGTAGAAGAGATTGTAGTGATAGCGCTTCTGGTTAAAGCTTCGTCCACAGGTCTGGACATCGAGGCCAATTACCAGCCGTTAAAGCCTGGTGCAAAGTGTCAGTACCTCACATGAACCCAATTAGCTTTACTGCAAATTCAATTGAAGACTTAGTGGAAATAATTGACTATTTCTCCTCGGATGCCGTTTCTGGTGTTCTGGCTTGTGTCTGGCAAGAAAAGGCAAAAACACACAATGCCCTTTCTTTTTTCTTCCTTTGGACTCATTCTGCCCTTTTAAGCTCTGTGCTATTCTGCTACTTTATGAGATTAGACCTACTTAATGTCTGATTTTAAGAAGCTAAGCAGTATTTACTGTGAAATCATGTCTCAAATCAAACAAGCTCCTGTCGAGACGGAGAAATTTGTCCATAAATCTATATCAGAAATGTAAATAATTTACAAAAATCACCTTGTTAACTGTTAACCGAGAAAAGGATATACCGATAATTGCATTAGATTGGATTATGATCAGGTCAAGGTAAAGGTGGCTCTCAAGTCTAACATGGATGACCTCTGTTTGTATCCTGCTTGTGATGCATCCTCTTTAATCTGCGTGCGTGTTGTCTGAGGTGATGCGAGTCAGATGGTTGGTACTCGATGAAGGGGAGGAGGTGGTCTGAGACCTTTTGGCTGATAAATCAGCTGCTGCTTCTCTAACCGGTCTCATGAGAGTAACATTTCGTTTCCCCTCTCTAGTCGAGGATCATTTAAGCCTCTCCCTTTCTCTTTGTCTCCTCTGTTTGACCTTGTGTAAATTGCACATTCCTCTCATCCCCTTGAACAACACCCCACTACTGTGCGGCAGTACAACCTCTGCTGATCTCAAACACAAAAAAAATCCATCCCTGTATTATCTGTAACTGCTTTTTCCTATTCAGGGGATGGCTCGAGCCAATCCCGTCACACTGGAGGAGCTGCCAGATAATCACTAAAGCGGCAATAATGTAGTCCCCTAATTGATTAGTCAATTGACAGAAAAAGAATGACCACGTTTTTGATAATCCATGGCGGAAATAATATGGAATTATCAATTATATCAGACTGAATTATGAGCAATATTTATCAAATGCTGCACAAGACCTGTCAAATATGTGCATGTGATGGAATAAGGAGACCAATGTTTTAGGTTAGAATATTTTGCAGCTTAAACAACCTTAAAGCTACTTTATGGAAAACAAAATGGAAAATATGAATGTTAAGGAGGTAATCTTCCTTCTGGGATAGCTTGAGGGTGCTTGACGTGCCGTGCCTGCTCTTCAGTGCTGACGTCAGCAGCACCTCAAGGTGACAGAGCCCCGGAGAGCTGCCCTATCGGACGGACAAAGACTGC